CGCCCGCGCCCGCCCGCCAGCGCCCCCTGCCGGCACGGAGGACCACGGGCACCGCCCAGGCCGGGCGGCCTCGAGCTCTCCCCTCGCGTTCCTTATTTCCTCATTTTATTGTTCATCAGTGGTGCTTGTCACCATTAKTAGAATCACAGAGTCACCAAGATTGGAAGAGACCTTTAAGATCATCTGGTCCAACCATCCACCCAGCACTGCCACTGTGTCCCTAAGCCACTAAACCACATTGCCCAGCACCAGGTCAGACACCTCCTGAGCACCGTTGGGGGCAGTGACTCCACCACCTCCCTGGGCAACCTGGGCAATGCCTGACCTCCCAAACAGGGAAAAACTTGTTTCTAATAACGAATCTGAATCTCCTTTCTTAGCTTAAATCCATTTCCTCTGGTCCTCTCACCGCAGACATGGCAGGAAAGCCCAGCCCCATCTCAGTACAGCCTCCTGCCAGGGAGTTGTACAGAGCCCACCTGAGTCTCCTCAGGACCAAACAACCCCAGTTCCCTCAGCCACCCCCACATAAAACAAGTTTTCTAAACGTCTCACAAGCCTTGCTGCCCTTTGCTGAACACACTCCAGCCCCTCAATGTCCTTTGTTAAATGATGGCCCCAAACCCACACACAAGGTGCAACCTCTTCCTTTATCTTTATGAGTAGTTAACAGCCTTTGTAATTATTATTTAAATTTTATTAATTAGTATTTATTAATTTACTTGTATTTTTTTTTCACCATTTTTATCCCACTCTGCCCTGCCTTCCTGCAGACCCTCTACACCCTCTGTACTGTCACAAAACTTCTTTTCCATGCCATGACCCTCAGAGCTTCAGTGTGGGATTGGAACTTGACATCGTGCCTTGGGCATGGGCTGATTTGTCCTGATGTATCAGGTGCTGTGAATTACAGTCTGGTGGTTTTCTGCAGTCCCCATCATGGCGTGGAAGAACTCCAAACTGGTTTTGTGTCCCTGTACATAATACTCATTTATTATTGTCACCGTGACAAATGCTAATTAGCCTGGATGGAGAAGAGCCCACAGCTCTCCCAGCACAGATCAAGGTGAGATTGTCCATTAGTGTGGTATAACACAATGTTTAAAGCAGAAAATACATTTCTAATGGAACAAATAATGAATTTCTCACAAGCTATGAGGCAAAGCCTTGTCCTGGCAGGTCTGGTACAGTACTGACATGCAGCAGTGTGGGACCTGCTTTCCCAAAACATCCGTGAGCCTCTCATGAGGTGACAGCTTCTATGTTCAATTTCTTTTTGATTACATGTCTCCACATCCCTTTGCTGCACTTTGTCACATTGCTGGGGACGGTTTGGGCTGTCTGAGGTGACAAGACCTTGATGGTCACCACAACACTCAGCAAAATGTTGGCAGCTCATGTATCCCACTTGTGAGCTGGGAATAGTTGATTTCAAAACTGACATGAGAAGGGGTGTATGTCTGGGTTCAAACTGTTAACCCACACTCAGGCTAAAACCATTCAAGGTTAAACATAATATTCAGGGTACTGAGCAGAGGGAAGAAGAAGCTAAAGGCAAGTGCTGGTGCAGAGATTCAACACCAGCTCCTGGAAAATAGACATGACTGCTTTATAAATGACCATTGGCAAAGAGATCATGCAAGAAATGGGTTCAGTGAATTACCATCCCTGCATGCGGCAGAGAAATCCGTGAGCAGAGCACAATTTTTCTAAGCTCTTAGAAGCAGGAATTAAATACAGCATGTGAGAGAGCTCTCAGCACGCTAACGATTCCCTAATTCACAGCCATGACTGAGAGATCCATTGTGAATTAATTAATCCTTGCAAATTAGGAACTGAGTAAACATTAAAAATATCCGAGTTACTTCACTGGGTAAAAAAGGGTATTTGGAAAGGCAAGCATGCAGGTGCTTTGCTCGGGAGGGACAGATCTCAATGGGGTCCTGGGGCTTTGTGCTGCTGGTGGGAGGCGCAGGGAGCCCTGCAGCTCAGCTTTAGCTCTTCTCATCACCATTCTACCTCAAAAAAAATGGCAAAACTGGGGGAAAACAATATATCAGCCTGCGAAATGAATCCTTTCTCAAGGAGCTCTGTTTCACCTCCCTCTTTTCTTCCTTCAGACCTTACCTTGCGCAGAGCAGCCGTTCCCGCCTGGAATGCCATGGCAGCTCTCCAGGGCCACCCGCAGCTCTCAAACASCCTGTGACCCACTGCCTGCTCTCTCTTCTCTTTTCCATGGGGCACCCGTGCCTTTTCCTTTCACAGGGTGCTCCCTCCTCTCCCCACTCTCCTGCTGTGGCAGCAGTCCCAAGTGTCCCTCACCGTGTCCCACAGTGTCCCCCCAGCTCTTGCAGCCGGCCGCGCTCTTTTGGATGTCACTGCTCACAGCCCAGAGTTTCCCTGGCGGTGTCACATGTGAGAGCTCYCCAGCAGAAACCCCATTTGTGCAGAGCCCAAACTGTGGCAGGAGCAGGGCAGAGAGCCCAGAAACATCTCCCTGTGCTGTGGATGTGTCACCCCCCGCCACGCCATGGGATGGAGGGGCTCTGCCACCTGCTTGGCCATCTGGATAGGTACAACACGGACCATCCTAAAAAACCAGTCCGGGTCATCTTGGCAGCTGTTTGGACAAACACACATGGGGAGAAGGACAGAACCAACACCCAGTTAACGTTTGAACTGGGCATGGTATGATTCACAGAGCAGAGCCTGTGTTCCTGGTTCCTGACCAGGTGCTTCAGGGGAAAGGCTTTGGGGAGGAAATATTAGACATAGGGACAACTGCAGTTCCGCTGAACTGCTTCTGTTTAAAGTTTGGCAGAACAAGAATCCTGAATCTTTCCATGGACTTTGAACCAAGCTGCAGTGGCTGAATTTAATCACCAGGTTTCACAAGGGCCTGTGAGAGTTTCTGAAACTGTGTTTCACCCATTACTGCCTGGAGACATTCACTGCAGACCCTTGAAGCTTTTCTCAGAGAAACATCTGTGGGTGAGTATTTTTTTACCTTACAGTTCATTCAATTAATACATAATGAGTAGACTCACACTCCCAAAATCCTATTTACAATAGAAAACACAAATATCATTGTCTTCAATATCAATTAGAGTTTTTTCTTCACAGGGATTTTATAATTTATCCTCAATTCAAGGTTCCATTTCAGAATTAGAACACATTATAAAAACATTATTGCAAAYGACAAGAACTAAGGGTTAGCACGTAAAGATAGTCAGAAAAGAAAAAGAATTACCAGAAGAACCATAGGAAAAAAATCTRTTGCAAGTTTCTTTCCTGGAGAGCAAGTTTTAATAAACATTTTATTCCCATGGAACAACTGAAAGTTATCTATAAAGCACAGCATCCATTCCAGGGAGGATCTACTGCTAAAGCCAAAACCAGGTTTCCATCAGCATAGTAAACATGAAAGGGAGTAACAGAAGTCACCCTGAAAAACAGCACTGTCATAGAATGTATTTCCTGAGCGCTAAATACAGACACACCTGGAATGGGGAGAGGGGAGGGAACATCACCTTTAAAACACAAGACACCCACCTGATCACAGGTATTCTTCTGGAAAACTCCCCAGGGAACCTTGGGCACGGCTCCTACTGTTAAAAATAAACAAGAAAGAAGAAAAGGGTTGCGGCAGTGGGAGTTTATTATCATTTTTACATGGGCTCATTGCGAAGAAGCCAAAATGAGTGCAAACTCTGATTTTCTTCTTGCCAGACCAGCCCATGGAGCATCACCCACCTTCTCACAGCTCCTGGGTGCTCTTCATCTTGTCAGGGCCATGGTTTTCCTATCCACAAGTGGTTGTGCTCCAAGAGCTAGCAGGACTTCCTACACCTTTTGGYTCCTCCACAGGAACAAGAAATGCTCATCCCTGTAATAAAGGACACTCTTCTAAATACATCTGAAGAGAGAAAAAAGTAAAAAAATTAAAGAGGAGAGTTGGTTTAAACCAGACAGTATTCATAAACAAAACCAAAACAGTATAAAACTTTTTGGTTTAATTACAAAAATACAGTTTAAATTAATTTTWAAAAAGCTTAGAGACTATCATGAAATTTTACGTCCAATCCAGGATGGACTTGGCTCACAAAGACCAGAGACCCTGCATGCCTTCCCCTCCTAAACCCTSCTGTTTCCCACTGTCACAGCAGCTGCCAAGGCTGTGCCAAGACAGAACCACAAAGTGCAGAACACCCAAGTGASCATTTCCCCACTTCCTCGGGTGCTGCAATCCCAGCCCTGCAGCAAGAGAAATGGGCAGCAGTCGGGAATGCTGCTGGGAAGCCCAGTGCCCCTGGGCTGTCCTGCTGCCCCTRCAGCAGCAGCCCAACCACCCAGAGCTCAGGACAAAGCACGGGTCACTCTCCCTGCAGGGCACGGACCATGGCTGGCCTGGTTGCCTCACTCACACTGACAAGGTATTTTGTGTCAGGGGGTCAGGATGTGGTGACAGTACACACACCAACTATAAAAAGCCAGCCTTGGCTGTGGCCAACCTGGGACAAAAGCCACATTTGCTCACGGAAGAGATATTTTTCTCACTAAGATGAACCTTAACCCAGATCACTCTGCAGCCTCAAGAACCGAGAAGCTAAGAAGAAAAAGGGGGTGTGAGAATTGCAGGGGTTGCAATATGGGATGTGGGGGTACAGGGTGAAGAGCCTGTGGTCCCGATGTGTGGGGAGTCAGGCACTCATGCTGCTGTGAGAGTGAAGCTCACTGAATAAACCAAGCACTTGCTACGTTACAGACATCCGGGGATAATCTGGTAACATCTCACACACAGAGTGTGAGAACACCCAGGGCTGCCTGCTGAATGAAATAACTCRAGGCATGCTGCATAAAGAAAGTTCAATGATCCTCCCTGAATGGTCCCTTGAAATCTCCTATGTTCTCCTCATGAAGCTTGGCTCTTCTCCCCCCCCATACCACCGTTTCAGTGCAGGCAAGGGGCTAACCCTTGCAGYCTGTCACCACCCACACAGATTATCAGATTTTCTTCTTCCTACAAGGTGCTTTTGGCCCAGGAGCTGTGTTTCAAGCATTCTGGCTGAGAAGCAGCAGATAAGATTTCCTGTGGGGCCCGGAGCTCTGCTAACCTGCCAGGCAGGAGACAGCTTGAGCAATGGCAAGAGCATCAGCTGATCCTTAACACGAAGGCTGGACGGGGGTGTGTGAAAGAAAAGCTGAGAACTACTCAGCTGGTCCCAGCCTTGTAATTATTCCCTGTCCCAGGAGTTCACTCCCAAAGATGGCAGAGCCAGCTGGTACCCAGGAGGCTGAGCTGGGGCCAGAGAGGTTTGGTGCACTGGGTAAAGGAGATGGATTTAGAGAATTTCCAGATGTCCAGAACTGCTTTTGGACCTGGACTTTCTCTATGATGAAAATACTTCACAYAGCACTGCTCAGTGCTGTACATGACCTTTCTCTCTCCACCTGTAGCAGGAGAAGCAGTGAACTCCCAACTGCCCTCCTCCCCTGCCCGCAGCATGGTGAATGGCACAGGCTTTGATCAGCC